GGGATATGTTGTGTATCTTTATACGTATATGCTTCTAAGCTGTTGTATTCTGAGCACCTCTGCAAAAGCAGTGATAATGTGAGTGTGGTGAAAGTGTTGAATGATGATGAAAGTATTTTCTTTTTGGGGATTTTCTTTCTTTTTTGGGTCACCCTGCCTCGGTGGGAGACGACCGACTTGTTGAAAAAAAAAAAAAATTGAAGATGTGATGACTCTGCTTCGTGTGTAATACCTGTTGGTTCATGAGCGGCTCTCTGAGACACAGAGACAAGCAAACAGAAAGACAGACACACAGGTAGACAGAAAGACAGACACACACACAGGAAGACAAAGACAGATAAGCAGACAGATCTAGACAGATAGACAGACAGGCAGACAGATACAGACAGGTTAATGTGCAACAGTGAAAACAAATAAAGAGAGTTTGAGAGTAAGAGCCTTTCTTGCCTTCTTGCCACAATCTCCAATGCAAGATTCAGACTTCCTCTTAGGGGCCACGGTGAAATTTACTGTCCAGTTAGTACAGTTAATACAGTATGATGCTGGTGATAGGGCAGGGTAACTCAAACTGATGCTGCCTGCATGGCGCTTTGCCGCCGCGAGTATCGTCAAATATTGTACAGCCGTATGCATCACTGAGCTGGCCCAGCCCAGCTGCCAGATGCTCGGTCGTAAGTCAAGTGGACGTATGTTGAGCAGGTCATAAGTCGGATGGTAGGTGTACTTCTTGAATAATTTTGCTAATATCATCTATATGGCTTATCTATTACAGTTCATCTAATACTGTATGACATAAACAATATAAATACCATAGAAACCTAATATATACTCTAGAATGAATAAAATATGTCATTATGTAACAGGTGGAGGCAGCCACAACCGTTCCCTCTTTCTTGTGGTAAACACTGCCATCTAGTGACGGCCTTTTGAAGCGGTGTCTTATTATAATTATTATTTTATGCTATTACTAAATTTAATAGGAGAAACTTTTGTTTTTCCTTTTGGGTCACTCTGCCTCAGTGGGATATGATTAGTTTGTTGAAAGAAGAAAAAGAAGAATGAAAGAACTGCACAAACTTAAGGTATGTGCAGTTCTTTCTTTCCAGTTTCACTGTATGTAAAGCTTGAAAATTAATACTGTGACTGGAACAGTTCATGTCTTATACCACAATTTGTCAAGGACATTGTCCTGGAGCATTGTCAACTCTCACTTGATAATGGTTCAGGATGCATCAAAATGTCATCTGACATTCCTCTTCTAATTGTGGATTAGCTGTGAAATTCTTATGTTTAATTGATTAAATGTTTTCTTAAAAGTCTTGGAGTTGTCTTATATTCACATTCAATAGTTGATGTTAAAGACTTGGAATTTTATTGTTATTGACCCTAGTGAGTTTAACACTTACTTTTTTTTTTTAACACGTTGGCAGTTTCCCACCGAAATGGCTGATGTTTAACCCTTTGACTGCCGGTGTCGTATGTATACATCTTACGAGCCAGTGTTTTTGATGTATTAACCCTTTAACCCTTTGACTGTTTCAGGCCCCTCTCTGAAACTGTCATTCTATGTCGCTCAATTTTTGAAAAAAAAAAATTATTTTTTCTTATGAAATGATAGAGAATCTTTTTCCGATGGTAATGACACCAAAAGTTCGAAATTTGGTCGAAAACTCATGGAATTATGCTCCCGCGAAGTTAGCGGTCTCGGCGACATATGCGTATCGGCGATTTCGCCGACTTTGAGCCCTATTTTCAGCCAATTCCATTGTTCCAGTTGACCAAACTCATAGCTATTTCTTTAGAACTCCATTTTATCTATCAGCTGAGTACAAGAAACCTCCCATTTACTAATTTGAACTGCCCAATATGGTGGTCAGAAATTGGCAATTTGGCCAATTTCACGCAATCTAAAAAAGATGCCAATTTCAAAATAGGGTCCAGAATAAACAAGGTAGACATTCGTGGCTCTAAAATAACATATGCTCTGTTCATTAGTCATATCTCTAGGCCCCTCTTATATTATTATTGCTTTCTATTTTGATTTTTTATTCATACAAAAAAATACAAAATTTACTGTTATGCAGACTACTGCATTATTGTAAAAATGGTATAAATAATATCAGTGCACTAGTGAAAGAATATTAGACTCCCCAGTTGACGTGTATTGGACGTGTGGTGTGATTTATTTACTCCTGAACATTGGTAAAAATCAAACATTTCCTCTACTTTGAGCTCAGTTTCAAGGTCGTTTTCATTGTCAAAGTAATGAAAATCATCTCTATTTCTGTAATATGTTTTCCATTTTATCACCTAAGGCCATGAAAACGCGAATACAACGATAAATACTATACGAAAATACACCTCAAAGTCGGCGTTTTATTCCAAAAAAATGATCAGAGTTTTTTTTTCTCATTACGCAATGTGTGCTGCAGGATTTTTTTTATGTGGTGCACACTGACCACACAGACCCATTCTCTCACATGTGGGCCTACCAGCTTTCTCCCGCTTGATTTGGAGCCGCTAGAATTATTGAGTATATATACGTCAGAAACATTGGCTCGTAAGACGTATTTATACGTCGAAAACAGTCAAAGGGTTAAGGGTCCAGAGGCCGAATTTCAAAGTGCGCACCAGGGTCCAATAATTTTCAAAAAAAAAATTTTGTTATCTTTTCTTATGAAATGGTAGCGAATCTTTTTCTGAAGGTAATAAAAGAAAAAGTACGAAATTTGATGGAAAATTGACGAAATTATGCTCTCGTGAATTTTGATGTGTCAGCGATATTTACGAATCGGCGATTTTGCCGGCTTTGACTCCCATTTTAGGCCAATTACATAATTCCAGTCGACCAAATTCTTAGCTATTTCACTAGTATTACTTCTATTGATTGAGCACAAGAAATCGCCAAGTCAACTGTTTCAACTACAAAATAAAGTGATCGGAAATTGGTAATTGGCCAATTTAACACAAAGTTCAAAATATTCCAATTTCAAAATAGTGTCCAGAATAAACAATGAAGGTATTCCTGGCACTAAACTAACATTTCCTCTGTTCATTAGTTACGTTTTGAGGCTTTACAAATGAATTCCATTTTGATTTTTTATTCACATAATGAATTTTTATTCAAACCAAAAAATAGAAGATATACTGTTATGCAATATTGTAATAATTGTACAAATATCATCACCACATTTGTGAATGTATATTAGACCCACCAGCTGGCGTGTATTAGACGTGTGAGGTTGTTTGTTTACTCTTCAACATCGGCAAAAATTTAACATTTCCGCTACTTTGAGCTCAGTTTCAAGCCATTTCCAGTGCTAAAACCAATCAAAATCATCTCTATTTCTGTAATATGTCTTCCATTCTATCAAATGAGACCAAGAAATTGCAAATACAACTATAAAAAACATAAAAAACTGAGAAGTCGCTGTCTCAGTTTTTTCTCTCATTATACACTGTTTGCTGCAGGATTTGTTTTATGTGGTGCACACATACCACATAGATGTATTCTCTCATATCTAGGCCCAAATGTACCACTCACAGCTTATCAGAGTGAGCTGAGTTCACGGCATAGATCTACGGTTTAGACCCTGAACATAAAGCCGTAGATCTATGGCACGGACCCTTAAAGGGTTAATACGCCAAAATTCTAGCAGCTTCAAATCAAGCTAGAGAAAGCTGGTGGGCCCACATATGAGGGAATGGGTTTGTGTGGTCAGTGTGCACAGTATAAAAAAAAATCCTGCAGCACACAGTGCATAATGAGGAAAAAAAAACTCCGACTGTGTTTTTGGATTAAAACGCCAAATTTGAGGTGTATTTGCGTATAGTATTTATGGTTGTATTCTCGTTTTCTTGGTGCCATTTGATAGAATGAAAGGTATATTACAGAAATAGAGATGATTTTGATTGGTTTCACGATGAAAAGGACCTTCAAATTGAGCTCAAATTATTGGAAATGTTTGATTTTCATATAGTCGGACTTGAGTCCTGGAAATGGGAAGTACAATGCCTGCACTTTAAAGGAGGGGTTTGGGATATTGGCAGTTTGGAGGGATATGTTGTGTATCTTTATATGTGTATGCTTCTAGACTGTTGTATTCCGAGCACCTCTGCAAAAACAGTGATAATGTGCGAGTGTGGTGAAAGTGTTGAATGATGATGAAAGTATTTTCTTTTTGGGGATTTTCTTTCTTTTTTGGGGTCACCCTGCCTCGGTGGGAGACGGCCGACTTGTTGAAAAAAAAAAAAGTTTGATTTTTGCTGATGTTCAAAAGTAAACAAATGACGCCACCGTCCAATACATGTCCAACTGGCCAGTCTAATACGCAGTTGTGATTTGGTTGACATTATTTATACAGTTATTACAGTAATGCAGTAGTCTGCATAACATTAAATTTATTTTTCGTGTGTGAATAAAAATTCGAAATAGAAAGCAAGAGTAATATAAGAGGGGCCTGGAGATGTGACTAATAAACAGAGAAAATTTTATTTTAGAGCCAGGAATGTCTGCATTCTTTATTCTGGACACTATTTTGAAATTGGCATCTTTTTTAATTTGCCTGAAATTGGCCAAATTGCCAATTTCTGACCATTTTATTGGGTAGCTGAAATCCGTAAATGGGCGGTTTCTTGTGCTCAATCGATGGAACAAATAGAGTTCTAAAGAATTAGCTATGAGTTTGGTCGACTGCAACAATTGAATTGGCTGAAAATAGGGCTCAAAGTGGGCGAAATCGCTGATGCGTATATGTCACCGAGATTGCTATCTTCGCGAGAGCATAATTCCGTAAGATTTCCATCAAATTTCATACTTTTGGTGTCATTGCTATTGAGGAAAGATTCTCTATCATTCCATAAGAAAAAATAATTTTTTTTTTTTTTTGAGTATTTTCCGATACAGAGGGACACTTCAGGATTTGGGGTCTCAACAGTCAAAGGGTTAAAGTATGTTAATTTCTAAATAAAGGCTCCACTAAGTTATCTTTCTTAACCAGGTCATGCTGATGGCAGTGCCAGCCTTGGAAGATATTTACCGGCGTTCCTGTGCACTCAGTGAAGACCCTAGTGATGTTCGTGAGTGTTTTGTCCACCCAACACGTCTCATCAACTTCCTTGTGGGGCTCAAGGGAAAGAATGAAACCATGGCTATTGGTGGCTACTGGAGTCCTTCCCTTGATGGTGCCAACCCAGAAAAGGATCCAAACGTTCTCATTCATACCGCAATCCGCACCTGCAAAGCTCTGACAGGCATTGACCTGGCAGGGTGCACAACCTGGTAATGCTCCGGACTAGTTTTCAGGCCATCTGTTTGGCCCTCCTGTATGAGGTGTGGGTGTGAGGAGGTTGGAACGACTGACATTTGGGCCAATGAAATGTCAGGGGTAAGAGGGATAGTGTGACTGAACAGGTGACTACAGTTCCTAGGGCTGTGAGATGAGGTTAAAGATTTAGCAGCAGAAGACTAGAAATGGCAAATGAAGGAGCTCCTCTGTAATTGAATAAATAATGTATGTTTTTATCTTTATAATGGGGTAGGCTGTAAGTTGGATAATATTTTAAAGATCTTGTGTAATACTTCCTTATATTTATTAATACTGTACAAATATTTTTTATTAGACTATAAAGAATACAGATTATCCCTAAAGTTTTACACTACACAAAAAAATATAGGAGGTATGAAAGGTAACTAGATCACCACCTGCATCAAGTGGCTGACCAGTCAAGTTATGATGGCTGTGTAGGCCTGTGGGCTGCTAGCAGCAACAGCCTGGGTAAACATCAGCCAGCAAGGAAGTTTGGCCTTAGGCTTGGGCTGCAGGGGTAGAAATACCCTTGAAACTCACAGGTAAATGTATATCCTATTTGAATGTAAAGTTAAAGGTAAAATGGGCAAGTCTCTTCTCATGATGCAGTAATATGTACTAGAGTCAACTAAGAAGTATCATTGGACCTGTTCTTTTCCTTCATCTATATGTATATACAGTGGTCCCTCAAATATCGTCCTTAATCCGTTCCTGGAAGTGGGACTATTATCGAAATAGACGATTTTCGAATCAATTGTCCCCATAAAAAATAATGTAAATACAATTAATCCGTTCCTGACACTCAGAATTATTAAAACAAAAAATTTTTTTACATGAAATATAGATGTACATAAACAATACAATGGGACATGATGAATGAAACATTAACAGCATAACACTTACCTTTAATGGCAATTCTTCTTAGTGTATGGAAGACTGGAGGAGGAGAGAGGATGGATTAGTTACTGTTTGGAAGGGGAATCCCCTTCCATCAACACCTCAGGTACCAAGTCCTTTTCTGGGGTTACATACTTCTCTTCTCTGTTTCTTAATGCCACTAGGACCACCTTGAGAGTCACTGGAGTCCTGTCTCACAAAAAAAGTGTCCAGAGAGCTCTGTTTCTGGCATCTCTTTAAAACTTCCTTAAAATGGGCCAAGACTCTGTCACTGTACAAATTGCCGATATGGCTTGCAATATCCTTCTCAGGGTGATGTTTCTCCATAAATCTTTCCATCCTACCCCACATTTCAAAAATCTCCTTAATTTCTGAAGAAGGCATCTTCTTCCATCTCTCTCTTCGTCACAATTGAACACTTTTTCAGGTTTCAGTCCTTCAGCCTCTATGTACTCCTTGAATTCCTGCACATATTTTTCAGCTGCTTTTTGGTCCGAACTGGAAGCCTCGCCATGCCTTATCACACTGTGTATGCCAGTACGCTTCTTAAATCTCTGAAACCAGCCTTTGCTGGCCTTAAATTCACTCACATCACCACTAGTTGCAGGCAATTGTTTACCAAATCGTCATGCAACTGCCTAGCCTTTTCACAAATAAGCGACATCATAATACTATCTCCTGCTAATTGTTTCTCGTTTATCCACACCAATAATAACTTCTCAACATCTTCGAGTACTGGTGATCTCATTTTTGTCAGCACATTTACCGCCTTTGCAACAACAGCTTTCTTGATTTCCTTTTTCTTGGCTATGATGGAAGATATGGTTGTACGAGATTTGTTATACATTCTGGCCAGTTCGCCCACATGTACGCCACTTTCATATTGTTCAGTGATGTTTTTCTTAAATTCAATCATATTTCTCACCTTCTTTACCAAAGGCTTGGCACTAGGAGCTTTCTTTAGAGCCATTGTAGCTTATTTAGCACTTTTTTTTTTTTTCAACAAGTCGACCGTCTCCCACCGAGGCAGGGTGACCCAAAAAGAAAGAAAATCCCCAAAAAGAAAATACTTTCATCATCAATCAACACTTTCACCTCACTCACACATAATCACTGTTTTTGCAGAGGTGCTCAGAACGCAACTGTTTAGAAGCATATACGTATAAAGATACACAACATATCCCTCCAAACTGCTAATATCCCAAAACCCCTCCTTTAGAGTGCAGGCATTATACTTCCCATTTCCAGGACTCAAATACGGCTATATAAAAATAACTGGTTTTCCTGAATCCCTTCACTAAATATTACCCTGCTCACACTCCAACAGATCGTCAGGTCTCAAATACCATTCGTCTCCATTCACTCCTATCGAACACGCTTATGCACGCCTGCTGGAAGTCCAAACCCCTTGCCCACAAAACCTCCCTTATCCCTTCCTTCCAACCTTTTCGAGGACGACCCCTACCCCGCCTTCCTTCTCCTACAGTTTTAGCACTTACAAGCACTAAAATGATTGGAATATTATGAAATATTTCGTATGAACATGTGAGGGGACCGTCGCTCACTGGTAAACAATGTCACACTGGCTGGGAACGGCTCAGAGCCGCGAGTACGTGTCCAGGATGAAAGACGATTAGTGAGTTAAAGGACCATTTGCGAGCCAGTGTTTAGATGAAATAACAGGCCTATTTCCGAAATGGATGACTTTCAGGCTGGACGATTATTGAGGGACCACTGTAGTTGTATTTTCAGTTTCTTGGTCTCATTTGATAGAATGGAAAATATTTTACAGAGAGAGTGATGATTTTGAAAATAGCTTGAAACTGAGCACATTGGAGTGGAAATGTTCAATTTTTGCTGATATTCAAGAGTAAGCAGATCATATCACTCGTCCAATACACGTCCAACTGCTGGGTCTAATGTGTGTTCATGAAGACGCTGATATTATTTCATGCACTGGCCAGGGAGGGATACCATCTTTTAGGAGTGAAGAAGAACAGGATGTGAGTATGAGGGGGGTGCATGAGGCATTACGTAGAATGAAACGGAGTAAAGCAGCTGGAACTGATGGGATCTTGACAGAAATGTTAAAAGCAGGGGGGGATATAGTGTTGGAGTGGTTGGTATTTTTGTTTAATAAATATATGAAAGAGGGGAAGGTACCTAGGAATTGGCAGAGAGCATGTATAGTCCCTTTATATAAAGGGAAGGGGGACAAAAGAGATAGTAAAAATTATAGAGGATAAGTTTACTGAGTATACCAGGAAAAGTGTACGGTAGGGTTATAATTGAAAGAATTAGAGGTAAGACAAAATGTAGGATTGCGGATGAGCAAAGAGGTTTTAGAGTGGGTAGGGGATGTGTAGATCAAGTGTTTACATTGAAGCATATATGTGAACAGTATTTAGATAAAGGTAGGGAAGTTTTTATTGCATTTATGGATTTAGAAAAGGCATAGGGGAGCAATGTGGCAGATGTTGCAAGTACAATATATAGAATAGGTGTTAAGTTACTAAATGCTGTAAAGAGTTTTTATGAGGATAGTGAGGCTCAGGTTAGAGTGTGTAGAAGAGAGGGAGACTACTTCCCAGTAAAAGTAGGTCTTAGACAGGGATGTGTAATGTCACCATGGTTGTTTAACCCTTTGAGGGTCCGTCCCGTAGATCTACGGCTTTACGTTCAGGGTCCAAACCGTAGATCTACGTCATGAGCTCAGCTCACTCTGATAAACTGTGAGTGGTACATTTGGGCCTAGATATGAGAGAATACATCTATGTGGTATGTGTGCACCACATAAAACAGATCCTGCAGCACGCTGTGTATAATGAGAGAAAAAAACTGAAATCATGATTTTTTTATTAAAACAGCGACTTTGCAGTGTTTTTTCGTATGTTTTTTATAGTTCTATTTGCGATTTCTTGGTCTCATTTCATAGAATGGAAGACATATTACAGAAATAGAGATGATTTTGATTGGTTTTAGCATGGAAATGGCTTGAAACTGAGCTCAAAGTAGCAGAAATGTTAAATTTTTGCCGATATTCAGAGGTAAACAAACGACCTCACACATCTAATACACGCCAGCTGGTGGGTCTAATATGCATTCACAAATATGGTGATGATATTTATACAATTATTACAGTATTGCATAACAGTAAATCTTCTATTTTTTGGTGTGAATAAAAATTCTTATGTGAATAAAAAATCAAAATGGAATTTATTTGTAAAGCCTCAAAATGTAACTAATGAACAGAAGAAATGTTAGTTTAGTTCCAGGAATACCTACATTGTTTATTCTGGACCCTATTTTGAAATTGGAATATTTTGAACTTTGTGATAAATTGGCCAAATTAACAATTTCCGATCACTTTAATTTGCAGTTGACACAGTTGACTTGGCGATTTCTTGTACTCAATCGATAGAATTGAAGTAATACTAGTGAAATAGCTAAGAATTTGGTTGACTGGAATAATGTAATTGGCCTAAAATGGGAGTCAAAGTCGGCAAAATCGCCGATTCGTAAATATCGCTGACACATCAAAATTCGCGAGAGCATAATTTCGCCAATTTTCCATCAAATTTCGTACTTTTTGTTTTATTACCCTCACAAAAAGATTCTCTACTATTTCATTAGAAAAACTAACAAATTTTTTTTTTGAAAATTCTTGGACACTGGGGCACCACTTCAGATTTGGGCCTTGGACCCTGAAGGGGTTAATATATTTATAGATGGGGTTGTAAAAGAAGTAAATGCTAGGGTGTTCGGGAGAGGGGTGGGATTAAATTATGGGGAATCAAATAGAAAATGGGAAATGACACAGTTGCTTTTTGCTGATGATACTGTGCTTATGGAAGTTTCTAAAGAAAAATTGCAAAGGTTAGTGGACGAGTTTGGGAGTGTGTGTAAAGGTAGAAAGTTGAAAGTGAGCATAGAAAAGAGAAAGGTGATGAGGGTATCAAATGATTTAGATAAAGAAAAATTGGATATCAAATTGGGGAGGAGGAGTATGGAAAGAAGTGAATGTTTTCAGATATTTGGGAGTTGATATGTCGGCAGATGGATTTATAGAGGATGAGGTTAATCACAGAATTGACGAGGGGAAAAAAGGGGAGTGGTGCATTGAGGTATATGTGGAGACAAAAACATTATGTATGGAGGCAAAGAAGGGAATGTATGAAAGTATAGTAGTACCAACACTTTTATATGGGTGTGAAGCTTGGGTTTGAAGCAGCAGCGAGGAGGGGGTTTGGAGGCAGGGAGATGTCCTCCCAAAATAAAATTTTTTTTTTTTTTTCAACAAGTCGGCTGTCCCCCACCGAGGCAGGGTGACCCAAAAAAAGAAAGAAAATCCCCAAAAAGAAAATACTTTCATCATCATTCAACACTTTCACCACACTCGCACATTATCACTGTTTTTGCAGAGGTGCTCAGAATACAACAGTTTAGAAGCATACACATTTAAAGATACACAACATATCCCTCCAAACTGTCAATATCCCAAAACCCTCCTTTAAAGTGCAGGCATTGTACTTCCCATTTCCAGGACTCAAGTCCGACTATATGAAAATAACCGGTTTCCCTGAATCCCTTCACTAAATATTACCCTGCTCACACTCCAACAGATCGTCAGGTCCCATGTACCATTCGTCTCCATTCATTCCTATCTAACACGCTCACGCACGCTTGCTGGAAGTCCAAGCCCCTTGCCCTTCCAATGTGTGGTGTAAATATTATGCAGAAAATTCTGAGTGTGGAAATTAGGAGAAGGTATCGAGTTAATAGGTTGTAGGTTGGTAGACAGCAACCGCCCAGGGAGGTACTATCGTCCTGCCAAGTGAGTGTAAAACGAAAGTCTGTAATTGTTTTACATGATGGTAGGATTGCTGGTGTCTTTTGTCTGTCTCATAAATATGCAAGATTACAGGTAAGTCTTGCTACTTCTACTTACACTTAGGTCACACTACACATACATGTACAAGCATATATATACACACCCCTCTGGGTTTTCTTCTATTTTCTTTCTAATTCTTGTTCTTGTTTATTTCCTTCTTATCTCCATGGGGAAGTGGAGCAGAATTCTTCCTCTGTAAGCCATGCGTGTCGTAAGAGGCAACTAAAATGCCGGGAGCAAGGGGCTAGTAACCCCTTCTCCTGTACATATTACTAAATTTAAAAGGAGAAACTTAAGTTTTTTCTTTTGGGCCACCCCACCTCAGTGGGATACGGCTGGTATGTTGAAAGAAGAAGAAGTATCGAGTTAATAAAAGTATTAGTCAGAGGGCTGAAGAGGGGTTGTTGAGGTGGTTTGGTCATTTAGAGAGAATGAATCAAAGTGGAATGACATGGAGAGCGTATAAATCTGTAGGGGAAGGAAGGCGGGGTAGAGGTCGTCCTCGAAAAGGTTGGAAGGAAGGGGTAAAGGAGGTTTTGTGGACGAGGGGCTTGGACTTCCAGCAGGTGTGCATGAGTGTGTTTGATAGGAGTGAATGGAGACAGTGGTATTTGGGACCTGACGAGGTGTTGGAGTGTGAGCAGGGTAATATTTAGTGAAGGGATTCAGGGAAACTGGCTATTTTTATATAGCCTTACTTGAGTCCTGGAAATGGGAAGTACAATGCCTGCACCTAAAGGAGGGGTTTGGGATATGGGCAGTTTGGAAGGATACGTTGTGTATCTTTATACGTGTATGCTTCTAAACTGTTGTATTCTAGGCACCTCTGCAAAAACAGTGATTATGTATGTGTGAGTGAGGTGAAAGTGTTGAATGATGATGAAAGTATTTTGTTTTTGGGGATTTTCTTTCTTTTTGGGTCACCCTGCCTCGGTGGGAGACGGCTGACTTGTTAAAAAAAAACTGCTATTGCATTACAGTAAATTATCTATTTTTTTAAATAGAGGAAATGTTATTTTAGTGCCAGGAATGCCTGCATTTTTTATTCTGGACCCTATTTTGAAATTTATGGGAAATTGGCCAAATTACCAGTTTCTGATCACTATTGGGTACTTGAAATAATTGATTGGCTAGTTTCTTGTGCTCATTCGATAAAATGAAAGACATACGAGCAAAATAGCTAAAAAGTTGATCTACTGGAACAATGTAATTAGCCTAAAATAGAACTCATAGTGAGCAAAATCACCAATGCTTATACAGTGGGCCCTCAACCAGCGATATTAATCCGTTCCTGAGAGCTCATCGTTAATCGAAATAATCGTTAGTCAAGTTAATTTTCCCCATAAGAAATAATGGAAATCAAATTAATCTGTGCAAGACACCCCAAAGTATTGAAAAAAAAATTTTTTACCACATGAAATATTAATTTTAAAACACACAAACTGAAGAAGACATGCACAGTTACATGACACTTACCTTTATTGAAGATCTGGTGATGATTGATGGGATGGGAGGAGGGGAGACCGTTGATCTTCTTAGTGTTTAGAAGGGGAATCCCCTTCCATTAGCACTTTGAGGTAGTAAGTCTTTTTCTGGGGTTACTTCCCTTGTTCTTTTAATGCCACTAGGACCAGCTTCAGAGTCACTGGACTTTAGTCGCACAACATATCTGTCCATAGATACCTGTACCTCTCGTTCCTTTATGACTTTCCTAAAGTGGTTCACAACATTGTCAGTGTACAGGTTGCCAACACGGCTTGCAGTAGCTGTGTCAGGGTGATTTTCATCAGAAAAGGTTTGCACTTCAAGCCACTTTGCACACATTTCCTTAATCTTAGAAGTAGGCAACTTCTTCAATTTCTCTATCCCCTCCTCCGAAGCAGTTTCCTCAGGTCTGCCCTCTTGCTGTTCAAGATGATCTAGCAGCTCATCAGTGGTTAGTTCTTCATCGTCCTCCTCCACCAGCTCTTCCACATCCTCCCCACTAACCTCCAACCCCAAGGACTTCCCCAATGCCACAATGGATTCCTCAACTGGCATAGGATTCTCAGGGTTAGCCTCAAACCCTTCAAAATCCCTTTTGTCTACACATTCTTCCCACAGTTTTTTCCAAGCAGAGTTCAAGGTCCTCACCTATAATGTTTACACAATTGAGGATGGTAAAATGATCTTTCCAAAACTCTCTTAGAGTCAGTTGAGTTTCTGAGGTCACTACAAAGCACCTTTCAAACATAGCTTTTGTGTACAGTTTCTTGAAGTTGGAAATGACCTGCTGGTCCATGGGCTGCAGGAGAGGAGTGGTATTAGGAGGCAAAAACTTCACCTTAATGAAGCTCATGTCCCTAGAAAGTCACTCTGCCAAGTCTGAAGGATGACTAGGAGCATTGTCTAATACCAGGAGGCACTTAAGGTCTAATTTCTTTTCAATTAGGTAATTTTTCACATTGGGGGCAAATGCATGGTGTAACCAGTCATAGAAAAAGCCCCTAGTGACTCATGCCTTACTGTTTGCCCTCCACAGCACTCACAAATTAGCCTTGACGACATTGTTTTTCCTGAACACTCTGGGAGTTTCAGAGTGATACACCAATAAAGGCTTCACTTGGCAATCACCACTAGCATTGGCACACATCAACAGAGTAAGCCTGTCTTTCATAGGCTTATGTCCTGGGAGTGCCTTTTCCTCCTGAGTAATGTACGTCCTGCTTGGCATTTTCTTCCAAAACAGGCCTGTTTCGTCACAATTAAACACTTGTTCAGGTTTCAGTCCTTCACTGTCTATGTACTCCTTGAATTCCTGCACATATTTTTCAGCTGCTTTGTGGTCTGAACTGGCAGCCTCACCATGCCTTATCACACTATGAATGCCACTACGCTTCTTAAATCTCTCAAACCAACCTTTGCTGGCCTTAAATTCACTCACATCACTAGTTTCTGGCATTTTTTTAATTAAATCGTCATGCAACTTCCTAGCCTTTTCACATATGATAGCTTGAGAGATGCTATCTCCTATCTGTTTCTCATTTATCCACACCAA